ACTTCCACCAACATGGTGGAAGTAAACAATAGATATCTCATTAGCTCCTTTTGTTCGTCTACCAGCATTTAAATTTGACCAGCACACGTCAACGGTGAGTAACAAATGAGCCTAGGTCTTCCCAGGGAAGACTTCCTTACATATAGCGAGCCTTCGTGTTAAAGAGCCACAAACTGGAGGACCGCCAACATTTTACTGACTTCAGGTCCGAAATTATCTGCGCAAAGTGATAACTAGAAATTGCTGATCCATCAGTATACTGAATCCCTCGTGACATGTGAATCTGGTATTTCACTTAGATTATTGTTCTTCCCGTTTTCCGACCTCGACCCCTTTTTACTTCAAGGACTGACGTAGTCATATTATGAAGTTTAGCTACGGACTTAAATTTCACTCGTTCGCTCCCTCCATTCTAATCTACCATGTTGGGTTAGACGCATTTTCTCCTGCCTCCCCTTACTAGGTTAGCTTCTGTCCCCAGAGTCGTGCCTTTGTCTATATCTGCTTTGCCGCTATCATTTCGGCGCCCCTTTGCGAAGAGAACGCGTAGAACAGTATGTACCCGCTGCCAGCGAGTTCTCTGTAGCTCACGTGCTATTAGAGGCGGCTGCGTAACTATTGAATGGTGTCGAATCCACGTGAGAAACTCAATTTTCTTTGTTTCACGTTCTGAACATTGATCGCAGCCTTTCAAGTTTTCATTTGGACAAAAAAAAAATAGGAATTATGACACCTGCTGTTTCCTTCAAAGGTAAAAGGAATTAACGCGCGAATAATAAAACGTCACAGAGGTCCTTTGATAATTAGTTCGTGCGGTTAAAATTTCACGTGCAAGTGCGCGCAGAACATTTAAATTTCAACTACGAGGGTAGAATCAAGTATTTCATTCATTGAGCTGCAAGAAGTTTTAGAGAAGGCTCGTCAGGTAAGATTTGAAGGCTCCTGGAAAAAATGTGTGCTCTGTTTGGCAAAGTCAAGTGACAGCTAAAAGCTCATATGTGTTTAGGCAGTAAATTTTTAGAAAGCTCTCGAGGGCGAAATTTAATAGCACGGTTACCTTAGCGAGAATGCATGCGTACTTTCGTCGACTCTTACGGCTCGTTATTTCTAAAGCGGCCATCTTAGGAGAGACTCCTTAAAGTTTGCAATTGACTTTGTTGCCTACGGCTTGAAGTCCAGCTGTATTTTTTTTTAAAGAACTTTTCTAGTAGACCTTTGTCAAAGCAAAACGAAGGGTTAACGAGGAAAGACTCTGACAAAGGCTCGAAACATCAGCGCGTTAGGAACTCTCTCTGTGGTCAATTCAAATTGTCAACTTTACTGGAAAATTCAGTTAGAATAGTTATTGCGAATAACAATCGCGCAAATAGTACTTGAGGCTGTAATATGTTTTCAAAAATAACCTGGGATGTCACTACTGTATTGCCCCATTGCATTGCTATTCTAAATCACCAATCGCCATATTATTATTATTTTTTTAAGTAGATACAGAATGAATTTAAAGCGTTGTTTGTTCATGGGCAAGTTCTTGTGCATGTTGTTGGTATCCACCAATGGTTGGTGGCCGTTTTCCAGCTCCTCTACTGAAGAGACCGAAGAAGAGCAAGGCCGTTATTTGAAGAACAGTCCAGTTCCTTTCGAAATGACGACAGCCGAAGAAAAATTTTTGGCCGAGGCCAAGAAGTATATGGGAAATCTTACACCATTGGACACCTGTCATCAGATGGTAAGTATGAAATCATCAAAGTACATAAACAGTTTTCAATTTCACAAATCTTGTTTTGGTAATAGCGGTAAATATTGTATATATTTTCGAATTAAAAACAATTACACCAGTAAATGCATATTATTTCCGCTCTATAGATGTTTTTGTATTACGGGGCATGCTTAGCACGCGAAGAAAAATACACGTGGGGTTTTCCACGCGCGACTACTAGTTCGTGTCATTCGATTTGGATCACTTTGCGCGTTGATCTTAAAGTTACAGCTGAGTACGACGAGGTTCATTGCTCCAGGGACAGCATACAATGAGATTGATTTTGAACACAACCCTAAACTTTGAGCAAAACAACCCTTAACTCCGATGACCAAGACAAAAATTCTCCTTAAAGTGACAAGCTAGTGATGAGAATAAAGAAAAGTGTAACTTAAGGGATAATTAGATGATCGAATACCAAATACTTCAGACTAGCATCATAAGAATTCTATGGCACGCAGTTAAAAGAATTACTATTGCGATCTGGGAATGAAAGGGTAAGAGGGCCACAGGATTTTGTAATCGTTTCGATATTTTCCGTCAGTGTTAAGCTCCAAATTGAGGCAAAAAAATCAAAATGTTGCACAATTCAGTCATATAAAAAATCCTTGCGATCATTTTCGATTCTTAGGTCATAAACCGAATCAAGAAATCCTGTAGCGATATCAACGAAGTTGAACTGGCAAAGTTAGGCGTGGCTCTCTTAAACTGTCAATCAAAATCCGAAGGAAGGAGAACGTACGAATGCACAGATGACATGGTAAGTTTTTAGTTTAGTTTATCCAATGATCGCCTCTGGGTACGAGGTCAGTTTGCACAATCGTCACGTCCAAAAACAAGTGGAAACCAAAGTAAAGGTCAAAAGTTTTTTTCCAAATTTTTGTTTAGGAATTGCGTGATTGCACAGCTAATATGGATGCCAACACGTGGAACAGTTATCACATCATAAGCAACAGGGCGCGGTCGATCTGCTATGCCACCCGGCAGCAGCAGTTCAGACTGAAGACAGAATTTACTGTCAATCAGCTGGCCAGTCAAGCAGAAAATCAAATGGAGCTTATGAACGGTTTACAAGTAAGTTTCAGCCACCCTAGTTCTTTCTTCAGACAAGATATGCGTCAATTTGTGTGGGAATTTTAACTCATCCCAACATGACAACAAATCTAAAAGGTGGAAGTATATCATACAAAACATGTTTAAACTGGGAGAACCTAACTTTGAATTTTGAACTATGTTAATGTTGTGATGATTAAGGTTTGTCAGCAGATAATATAACCGTCATTAGAATACTTTTGTAACAAAGCCACCGCGGTCACTGACGCGACGGGCTTAACCTGGAGGATTTGAGGAAGACATGCCTCCGACTTCGAGTGAGGTGGCCAAGGGGTGGAGGGTGGAGGGGAGTAACGGGGGAAGGAGAACGGCGGAGCTTTCTGTTTTCTCCCCCACCTCCCTCTTTCTCACTCTCCCTCCTTTCTCATTTTCCTCCTGCTTTCCTCCTCGCCCAATTCTCGACCAGAACGTCCTTTGATAACTTACTTACTTAATCCTGTTCATGTTGTGAAACGCATAAGGCCTCGGCCAAAGAGCGCCATTGGCTTCTGTCGGGTGCTTGTCGTTCCAGGTGACCCCATGTCCAGCTGTTTTACTAAAACTCCCTTACCACTTGGGCAAGTTTACCAGTCTGGTAGAAAGTTCTTACATTCCAACAGGCTATTCTTGTCTTCTCTTTCGGTTTCAAGGTATCCACCATCGGGGTGCCACCTCCCTGCAGGGTTTGGTTGACATCCGTCATCTGTCCAGTCACCTGGCTGATATCATCCCTGTCACCACCAATGATTATTTCTCTGACGTCGGTTTCCGTAACAATAGGGACTTTAAGCAGTTCAGACTGCAACGCCACGGAAGACGTCGATTAAAAAATGAGTTTCTACTTTTAGTTAGAATTTCGAAAATGGATACATGTGTTTACCGTCTCATAGGGCGCCAGACCTCAAACTCAACATAACGCATAAAAGTAGCGTTGAGTTCCAAATGTAAATTAAAATAGTTTGCCGCCGCGGTTTCGCTCCGCAGACGACGCAAATTTTGGTGATTTCACGTTGTTGTTTTGCAAAATACGGCTAAGAAATGTACAACGTTCTAAAACACACGTGCTAGGCTATTGTTCTGCCAATTAGATCCATTGGTTTTCCACGTTCTCGTTGCCGTAGCCGTCGTGGTTTGCTTAAAGTCCCCAATAGAAGTTTTTTTTTACGGGATAGGGTTGTTAGCCCCATGCCCAACCCTCCTCTTTTATCCGGGCTTGGGACCGACAGGATATACCCAAACTGATTGAGCATACCCAGGCAGAGTGTTGTCCTTTGATAAGCTCAACCTTTATTTTTGTTCAATTGAAAAGGAAGGTCAAAGGAGACTGACAGAAGTAGCAGATGATACTGTGATTAGAGTGACCGCTGGTCAGGAACGTCTTGTGAAACAGCAAGAGCAACTACATTCCAACTATGACGATGTACAGCGGTCGATCGCGTTCTCATTAAGAGGAAATGTCAGAGCACTGCACCAGGAAAGAATAATGATAGACAGCGGTCGGAAACAGCTCAAAGATATGGCGAAAGCGGTCAAAGAAAAGCTTGGTTCGTCCAGTTAACAGTTTTTATCAAAGAGAGTTTTTTCATTTAACCTCGCTTGGTTATCGTCTCCCTTCTTTTACAAAAGAGACAGTCTGAGATTAATCATTTTACAACTAAAATTTTCAAATCGAGCTGAGGATCAATTTTCCACCTTGTCCTGGTAACGTATTCACGCGTAGCAATGTTTTGTCTAATGTGGTCGGTCCAAATCAAGTCACTGAAATAGATGAAAATGCAAATACACTCTAATTAGTGTCAGTCAGTTTTGTTCTCAGTTGGAAAATGCAAATAAAATATTGAGATAAAGTATAAAAGTAGAGTATAAAAAGATAGAAATGCTTTTCATTATACAATAACGTAAAAGCTGAGTATCTCAGTTCTTAATCAACAGAGAATGCTACAATGGAAATTCAGAAGCAGGATCTGGACCGTAAAAAGAGCCACCGCAGAATTTTAGACGACTTGAACAAAATTCGTAGTAAGGCGGAAGAAGTGTGGAGTAAGATAGGTAACTAGAATCCCTTTACACCTTTACAGTGGTATTCATATTCTCCATACTGTTCTCTATACATTTCCAACAGTTCTGACGAGAGAATTTGTTTGACAATCAGGAGTTCCTTAGTTGGTGATCGTTTCCTTTATTCTCCTCACCCTAACGTTTGATTCAAGGGTGATATTGTAAGGAGAAATTAGATGCTGGTCACTCTAAGGAGTTGAAGGGTTAATTTTTTATGTTGAGCTCAGCCGACAACCACCGAATGAAATTTGATCTGTGCAACAGAGCTATATTCCACTAAATGTAATGTAATATAACCCAGGGTAATCGTCACAACGGCTATAATCATGATAATGGAATCTATCAGGTGCTAAAAGGCGGGAAAGCGCGACTGACCTTTCCAGATTGTTCTGAGCTTTGCATCTGATTGGCTGAGGAAATGGCACAAACTTTCTGCGCCAATCAGAGCACTGGTCCTTCCGCCTCCTAGAGCACGTCATTTTAAGTCAAAACAGATGCCAATCGTTTTTTGTTTTATCTTTCGATTTAAGTTTGTTTGAATTCGGTTGTAGACCATAGCACACTTCAAATGAAGTCGTACCACAGTGAGACCATTCAACATTACAATGAAACTATGGAAAATCTGAAAACTATCAACGATACCATCGGATATTTAATAGAGGTAAGAGAAATTCGAACTGCGTGTGATCACTCGTATCTTTTAATTGGATTTTTTTCTACTTCTAACTCCCATACATAAAAAGCTTATTGTTAAAGTTCGGCTTTTAATATTCAATTTAGGCTTGTACTTACTTTTATATTTCCAAACTTATTTTTTAAGTAGAACTTCAACAGTTTGCTTAAATTGAATGCTTCTTGAAAAAGTTTCTAAAACAAGTATCAACATGTAATTTATTTAAACAGGTAACCAATCAGATACAAGACAAGATCGATAACAGACTCGGTTGGTTGACGCGACATCTGGGAGGGACTGGAGACAAACTAGTGTTGGTCACCACCTGCTTGATGCATGCTGGGTATTTCGTCCTAGCAACCCTGTGTATCTTGTTCCTGAATGCACCTCTGTTCACTCGGCTTGTTCTCCTGATCACAGTACCAATCAATGCATGGATGGAGATCAATTTTGACTCCAGTTTATCATACAGTACACTCTCTTGTATCATCGCTGTGGCTCTGCTAGGTATGTAATAATATTTACATTTCCATTTACGTGCAAATCATATCATCGCCACAATAGCTACTTTGTTAGGCTAGTTCCAATTTTAATTCTAGACTAGCATGTACTACTTACTAATCCTTACTTTGGAGGGCCACTGGTTTGTCAGCGTACACCCTCTTCAAATAAATTTGACTTACTTATTGAAGCAAAGCAAGCCTCGATTTGAAGAAAATCCTCAAGATAACTCGGAAATGTGAAACTCGTATGTTTTCATTTATGATGAAACGCGATTGGTTGACTGACGTGGTATTTTGCACGCTTGTGAATGGCTTATAATAGTTCCCACGCTCTTTTAGGGAACTGGTTATACTTCTACCTGACAAAGAAATATTTCCCATCCAACGCTGATCGACTTTCTAAATCTTCAACTTTGGCATTGAGTTCTGCGAGCTCTCTCTGTCGACAAGAAACTCCAAATGATAGAGAGAACATACTGGATACAATAGGTAGGTGTTCTTTGTTTTTAAACAAGTATATGTATCTACATACTACATCAATATACATGGGTTTCTTTCCGGGTTTGAAGACTTCAATTTTTTTATAAAGTCGTAGTAGTAGCAAGTATGATACATATTGTAAGAAATATACAACATTTTTAGAGACATGTTCGGCATGCTTATGCCATCTTCAATCAATGAGTAACTGAACGTGAGTAATTATATAATAGACAAGTAGATGAATAAAATATTTACAGTATGTAATACAAAAGCGGGTACTAATCACAGCGTGACAACAAACAAGAAATTAAAGGTGTGAACTAAAATGCTAGAAAGCATTATAATACTTTTCTGGGTCTCCGAGGATGGGTTTTACGACACTTAATCGAAAAACGCTTCAAGGCCCTTTCTGTTGATAACTTCCATAGTTAATAAACATCTTTACTTTTTCCCTATTCCAGACAGTATAGAGAGCCTCGACGACTCAGCTGTGACTTTGACACCCAAAGAACCTGTGGGAAATACCAAACGTCAATTAAACCTTTACTTCCCAAATGCAGCCTCCACCCCAAGTAGAAAAGTAACCCCTCCACGCAGGCGCTGTGGCGCTCCAACAAAAACAGGCTCAGCCTGTAAGAAAGTGATCTCTAATACAAGCTTTAAATGCACTACGCATTTACGGATGGACTCGAGTCATATCCCGGATGAGTGTTAGGAAACAGACACGTAACAGAGCCAAATTGAAGCATTATTATAAATACTGAAGAGAAATACCTTTTAAAATGGCGGGACAGAGCTATGTTTTTCACTTATCTGTGTCTATGAATAGTTGCCAAACTTGATATATTATGTGTAGATAGAACTTTTGCGTAATGTCCGAGTTACGCGATCGAGGCAACGAGTCTCGCTTATAACGGCGCTATTTTTCATAGGGACAATAGTATCGAAAGACAGAGCCGAATGGCCTTCGACGTCCTTAATTTGACCTTTCATCAACACTCAAGTCTAGGCAGAGTAAACCAAATTCTCAAAGCTTCAAGTGATGTACATTATCAGTTTTAAAGAATATTCAACAGCCTCTTCATTCATTACGTAAAATTTTCGCGCGCTTCATTTTCACCCAATGATTACTGTTTCAGAGCTCACGAGGTTCAATTTTAAACCCGCGAGAAACATACTAATTTACTGTGGCAAGAATTCTGAGCTAAGAAACCAACGACGGGCTGAATTCGGTCGCGCCCCGAACGGAATTACTTCAAGCGACTTAAGTATGGACCTTTATACTTATTTTATTAAGTATCAGCCTTTACTCTAAGTATGGACCTAATCATCAACTACCGGATCGTGTAATTGGAGAATGTAACTGTTTAAGGGATTTTTAAGCTAAGAATCATATTTCCTTTATAGAGAGTATTTATTTATTTATTCATTTAACTTTCGTTGTCTCAGAGTTAAGATTTATTTAGGTCAATTAATAAAACACATTGGTCATGTTAACTCTGCTTGGTAGGTGTTTGCTAATACCCTTCAAATCACAAACCTACATCCCAGTACCTCTCGCAGGTAGTATGGTAAAGTATGAACTTAAACCAGTTAGTTTAGCTACCTGTAACAGCAGACAAGAATGAATGCCCAAAAAGTGCGGAAGCTAACCCAGACTCCGTAGCAGGAAGCACTTGTGAGTATCCCTTTTCCACTTCGATATGATGCCAAGGGCCATCGTGGATTACCCCTCTCTCCTCCCCTCCCCTCCACTCCTCCCCAACATTTCGCCCGGTTTCCCTGGCAGTTCATTAGTTTCCATTCATTTCCCTTGTGTGAGAGGGACACCGTAAGATTAAGTCTCGCCTTTGAAGACAACATTCGAAACAATAACTAGAACTCGGCCAATAGCCGTTCATTTAACCTCAAAGACCGTAATCCACACATTTGTAAAAAACAATTGCGTATCTAAGCGATTTTATTTCTCGTTCACTTGCTTTAGAATAAAAATCGTTCATAAACAGAGTTAAAAACTTCACCATCCTTGGCAGGAGTGGCAAATGAACAGACGACTGTTCAGTATAAAAGTCTAATTTTGGAGTTTAAATTACAAAATTTTCATAATATTCCACTAAGAAATGTCGGAGGGGAGCCAACCACAGCCACTGTAACTTATCAAGTCCTTTGCACCGATTGGAACCAAAGGAAGATTGTAAGGAATCCATAGAACTCAAAATGGAACCAGTCGTGTCAATTTAAGCGCTGAAAAAATGCGTAGAAATAAGTGACAATTCAAACTATAGCTGCGTTTGATTGGCTGAGAAGCTACCGCTAGTTTGCTGGCAGAACCAATCAGAGGGCCCTTAAAGTTCAAGCAAATTGATCCCGGATTGCCGGTTTCGCAAAGATTTAATGGAAATTCAATTAAAAGTAACTGGATGAAACGTAATGTTACGCTCCCCCGACCTAAACAGTTACTGAACCACTACAAATGCAGGTCAAGGTTACAGTGGCAATAACATGGCTTTCTCTTACGGATACCAAAATAAAAGATAACGAACTTGCACGTTTAACTACTAGAGAGGTTTTGCACAGCAGCCATGTTGGATGGCAGGAACAATGAAAATATTTTGCATAAGAAAGAAATTTTTTTCATGGGTAAAATAATCTATTGTTTCTGCCATCCAACATGGCTGCTGTGCAAAAGCTCTTTAAACAGTACGAACACATGCAAAGAACACTTCGTGTCCTACCTTTATAAAAGCAGTCTAGCCTAAAGTTGTAATCTTGGTCTTTGTACAGAGTGAAAGTTTTTGGAAATCAAAATTTACAAAAGGTAAGTACATTGTAATTTAATAAATTAAATATCAAATAGCGAGGAAAATTTGGTTCACTTAAATTCAATGTATGCTTGCGATATAAATATGTAATTCTTCTTTAAGTGCGAAGTTCTTGACATACATTATTTTCTTTTTGAGTTTATATTATTCTCATTTGAATGCTTTGTGTAACAAACTCGTTGATAGATTTGGATCAGTGTCAGAATCTAGCAACTGCACCCCTACCCATTCCCCAATCATTGTTGAGTTAGGGAAGGAGTAGGTGAGCAGCAGATTCCTTCAGTAAGCTAAAATTGGCAGATTGAAGAGCCCCAGCAATCGTAACATTTGAAAGCTATATCAACCTGTCAATTTATGAGCCTGTCAATTTATGAGCCTGTCAATTTATCAACCTGTCAATTTATCAACCTGTCAATTTCTCGGTTTATTTTGTAACTCGAGGACAAGTTCAGGAGGGAGAATAGTCCTTTTTACAATTGTGGGCTTGGTGGCCAAGCCTTTGAGCAGGAGTGAGGCTAAGGGTGACCTTCTTATGATAGAGATGTTGCTGCTTTTCAAATGCAAATTTCTTTGTTATTATGCTAACTAGATACAGGTGTCTTTTACAACAGGGTCACCCTTAGCCTCACTCCTGTTCAAAGGCTTGGCCACCAAGCCCACAACTGTAAAATGAACTATGTAATGAATTTACACATTGTCCATTTTCATTGATTACCTTTGATGCCATTTACCTATGACTATCGAATTGTAAGAGAGGGGAGCCTACACAAGTGACTGAGATACATCGGGAGTCGGGATATATCCCTCGAGTCGCTTGACAAATGGTAGGTTCGATTTGTACCTTACGCCTAACCAGTGGAGGACTCCATTTTGAAAGATGTACGGACAGTTTGAAATAGTCATCGAAATTTCGAGGAAACACGTAAGCATATCGAACGACTACATTTAACTTCAAAACTAACGTATTTTCAGCTGAAAGGCTGTACAGTCTATATAACTATCTATGTGACTCTTTATCGTTGTATTTGAGATTATCGATGGGTAAATACATCAATTATGGGTTAGTTTAGACACTATTCCCCATGAAAGGAGAATAAATGTCTAAACTAAAGTAATAAGGTCATCTGGCTACTATCGACGGGTGATCGATCAGCGATCGGTGGGGTCAGCTATAGTCGAGGGAGTACGAGTCATCCTCGGCAAGTTTTCGTAACACTACCGAGTAGTTGGCAATATTCAAAGTTGCCAAATAGATAATTGCTACGAATACGATCATTGTCAAACGATGTTCGGGAATAGCGGTAACGTGCGTTCAGCTCATAATGTAGAAAAAACTGATAATAGTAAATTGCATTCTAAGCTACGGAACTAGACTTGTGACGGAAGAAAATTCACTACCAGCAACTTTCATAAGTTCTCTTTGAAGCTTAAAAGCGTCTTCACAATTCTTAGCGAAGATCACAACACAAGCTTTGTGTTGAATTTTTACAGAGAGGTCTCGGACCGAAACGTATTTTATTAAACTTTCTTAGACTTTTTATTTGAGTATATGTCTTTCTTAGCTCGAAGTTGTCCGTCCTCGTGTACTACAATATTTTTCCTACTATTTATCGAGGTTTGGACTGTGAATCCCTTCGGATCCTTCTGGCGCGGCGTCACTGTTGGCTCGAGGCCTTTTAACTTGTTCTTGTTTTAACTTGCTCTGCAATTGCGCATGCTCGCTAGTGTACTCTAGTTTGAGCACTCTGGCATGGCTTAGACGATACCACAAAGGTTGGATCGTTTGGGGTGACCATATTGGTTCTCCTCCATCCTAGCATTAGCACTGCACTGATGAGGCCCAGAAGGCCGAAACAGTACTGTCTGCAGTTAGATATAGCTCTTTGGCATACAAAGCTTTGCTTTCATGTCCAAATTGAGCACTCTAACTAGGATGAGTCATTGCTCTGCAATTGCGCATGCTCGCTAGTGTACTCTAGTTTGAGCACTCTGGCATGGCTTAGACGATACCACAAAGGTTGGATCGTTTGGGGTGACCATATTGGTTCTCCTCCATCCTAGCATTAGCACTGCACTGATGAGGCCCAGAAGGCCGAAACAGTACTGTCTGCAGTTAGTTATATATATATATATAA